TATATATATATATATATGTATGTATGTATGTATGTATATAATTTTTTTACACAGAATTCTTTGATATGCTTGTAAATAAATGCATTTTATTAAACACTAATTCCAGTTTTGCTACAGCCCATAAGCTTCCCAAAACAAAAAGAAAAAGAAAATCTTCACATTTTATTAAAGGTGAGACACATAAAGGGTAAACTGAGGAATGCTTTCAGTGTTCCTGTTAATATTAAGGGCCGGTTTGTGGCAGTTTATTTGGTGCGGTGACGTTTTGAAAACACACATGATCTGTTTGGGTAAATCACGTTTTGACAGCTTATACGTTTTCAAAACACAAAAAACAACATTTTCACACCGCACCTATTTTGGTGAGGTGGGAGCTTATTGGCAATGGGTTCGTATTCGATTTGTAATAGCCACCTCACATAGTAATAGCATACATACATAGTAATAGCATACGTATTCGATTTGTAATGGGTCTAACTTTTTCAAAAAAATAAAAATTAGTAATAGCCACCTCACATACGGCTGTCAAAAAAGCTCGTTGTTCGCGAACAGTTCGTGTTTGGTTCGTCAATGAGTTCGTATTCGATTTGTTCGATAATTAAACGAGGCAAACACAAACAAATTTTTTTTCGTTCGGTTAGTTAAATGAACCAAACAGAAACAGTGATCGTTCGTTCGTGTTCGAATCGTTATTGTTCGAAACATAAAATAATTTAAAATAATTATATATAAAAGATTTATGATATTTTAAAAAATTAAATTTTATAAATTACAATATATAATAAATTAATAATAATTGGTACATTAATATATTATATTAGTAATATACTAATATAGATATTATATATTTATATAATATAAATTATATAATTAATATAGTATATTATTTATACATATTAATATTAGGGATGTCAAACTAGGTCGTCGTTCGCGAACAACTCGTGTTCGGCTCATGTTCGGATCGTTCGTTAAGAAACGAACACGAACAGTGACTTCACGAATAATTTCAAACACGAGCTTATATCAAACAAACTAAACAAACTAAAAAACAAACTAAATTTCAAACGAACCGAACATGAACACAAGTTCTGTTCGTTTGTGTTCGGTTCGTTTACACTCCTAACCTCACATAGCTTATCAGCAGATTATTTTTAATTAGCTTATCAGCTGATTTTCAATAAGCTACAACTGCCCAACCAGACCCTTACAAATTGAAACGGCAGTTTGAAATCCTGCTCGATTCCCAACCATGGTTGTTAAAACGAAAACAAACACAGCCGTAAAAATGGTCAGAAATTCTTAAGCTTCATGTGTTTGATTTCTGTGAAGCGGAGATATATTATATTTTTTATTTGATTGAAAGCATTTTAAATAAGAAATTAAAATTTGAAATTTTAACTAGTCCAATACGAACTTAATTTGAATAAATGAGTTTAAATCGAGCTTAACAAATAAATTATTAACAAGTCATTTCAACACAAGCCAAACACAAACAATAAGAATTTGAACGAGCCAGATGCGAACATATTTTGGGTTTGGTCAACTTCGACTCATTTAAACCCCTATATATGAGATAATCATTTAAATTTTATATGTTCGAGATCAGTTATTTTATGAGCAATGATATTGTTATGTTTTATCAGTTATAGTATGATTGCCCTTGCTTGGAACTTTAGATTTAACCATATTCAATTCGTCATAACTTAAAAATCACATTGCTCTAAGTTTAAATAGTTATAAACATTTAATAAGTATAATACCTTTACAGATAAATAAAGTTGCATAATTTTAGGTAATATAATATTATGATTATACTTAGGTAAATTTATGTGAAAGTTGATTTTCATGTGTTTTTAGACCGTAAATTTGAATAGTTTACATTAGCGCCTGTTGGTTCATTATTTAGCTTAAAATTGTTAAAAGATGAGGGGAGTTGCTAAACCATATAAAAAACATGACGGCAAAATTGTAAATTGAGAACAAATAAATATTTCACTGATGAAGAGAAAAAAGAATACTTTGATCCATTGATCTATGTACAGTTCAGCAATGATTATGTAGCAGAATGAGTTGAGTTCATTTAATATGCTTTGAGTTCTCGAAAGAAAATTCTATTTCAAAGTTGGTGCATTTAAATAGATACCACATAATTATTATGTATTTACAGATCTTCCAACCAAAACTTGTAAATACAACCATTTTCAACTTTTTTTAAAAAAATAAATACAGATTTTGGTAAGGTGGCATGTACATAAAAATTGAATTTTAGAGATTAAATATATAAGTTCATACGAATTGAGTAGCATGTATGTAAATCTTCCTTCAAACTTTGGTAAAAATAAAAAAATGTAGCCCACCCCAATGTAAAATTCTATAAATAAATCTATTCCCAGCAATCAATCCCAAATGGCTGAAAATGAGAATGGCGGAGAAGAGAACACATCCTATTGTTCCTCACCAAATCAAGATGTAAAAAAAGAGAGAACAATGATTCAAACAGGCTAAATTAACAATGCTAGACTACCGAAATCGTGTCCGATGTCCTCTTCAGTGATCGAAGCATTTTATTCACTGTTTTCGCTCATTGGATCCGACGAGCCAGCTAGGAAGTTCAAGATTCAAGACTAATGCAACTTATAACCAGAGAGAGAGAAAAGCAAACAAAATGATGTACCGATCTTGCGTTTCTGCAGGTGAGGGTCGCTACACAAGGCACAATTGCAAAGATTGAGGAGAGCAATGAGCGGATTGCGTCGATTTCTCCTGTGAGACTAGGTAATGTGTATTTCTTCCTCCTTAAATCCATCAAATCCACCTATCGATCGGATTTAATAAACATGAGATTTACATCATAACAGAGAAAAAATGGATTTAAGGGAGCACTGGATTTGACGCCCTTATATTTCGCGTTTGGCAGAATTTACGTTAAATTCATATGTAAATCCTATTAAAAGTATGCTACCAAACATCTCATTCAAATTAAAATTCTACAGCATTTAAAAGCCAGTTACAGCTATTGTAAATAGAGAGAAGCTTATTGCTTCGAGAAGAAAATTCATACCCACTAAAGTTTGTTATCCATCTTCAGTGTCACATAGAACATATAGGCATTAGATCAATCGCTCAAAATAATTTATCAAGCCTTTTTATGAAGAAAAAAAATTTATTCCATACAAAAAAATTCTTAGATTCTTCAAATGAAAAACTCTATTCCCCACAGGAAAATTAGATAATAGAGTCTGGGCATAAAAGCAAAATCATTGTCACCATACATTACCTTATAAAACAATAAAGGTAAAAAGACTGACTGATCATTCCTTCCAGAGATCTGCAAACTCATCGGGCTCCAATGGATTCTGGAGTTCATGCATCTTCCTCCTGGTTTTAGCCTTAACTTTCTTGACATACTTCCCTGCTTTCTTCCTTTTCTCCATTGCCCGAATCTGCTCCATGTGAGGATATAACCAATAAAATAATACCAAAAGTTCTAATTTTCAACCATACAATAACTTTGTGTAGCTTTTCAAGCATACCACACCCAATCTCGGTAATAAAGCTGACTGACCCTAGATTTCATCGAAATAAATAATTTGAAGCCAAATCTCACAAGATTAAAAGATGATGAATTGATCAAAGCATCAAGCATATAAAAATAATATGCTTGTGGACCATTAAAATGGTGAGATCAATGGTTTAGTAGTCTCATAGCGTAGCAGAGCTTTAGTCAAATAAATTTGCACTTATATAAAACTAGAATAATTTCAATGAATTTAATTTAAAAAAACAAAATCAATTTTTTTCAACAAATGCTTAATCAAAGTATTAACTCTCTAATTAAACATGATTAACAAGTTATTCTTAAGCTGTAGACAACTAAATATCGATAATCTTGAACTTGGATCTAAAGATGGTAAGAAAAAAAAATGGTCAAAGATATTAACAAAAGACCCCAAATCCACAAATATAACGCTCAAAATATGATTTTAAAAGGGCTTTTACATACATAGCACCCAAAACTTTCACATTTATCTATCTCGCACCTAAACTAACATTATTACAAACATCATGTGAAAAAAAAAACGCTCATTATCACTTTTTAATAATCAAATCCATCTTTCATCCATAATTAAAATGCTATGTGTGTAAAAATGAAAATTTAGATGTTAGGTAAATCCATAAGAATTGGGTGCTATGTATGTAATTTTCCCCCTATTGTATATTAAGGCGGTGATGCACATTAAATCAACAACAACAACTATAACGGTAAGGATATCCTGGAATGGAAGAACTTTCAATTTTTTAGAAACCACTAGCATATGAAGGCTTTCACTAAAAGTTTATATTTGGGGTTTTTATTGGTACCTGATTTGGCGACACAAAGAGAGGGTTTGCATATAGTGTTGGTCCACCAAAGCTGCCGCCAAAAATCTTAATTGGATTCAAACAAAACCTTGGACCAACCTGTTGAATTGGCAATATGTTAAAACCCAGCCAAGGACAAGAACAGAAACTTGAACGAAAATGGATACCTCAATAAGAGTCATTTTGTCCAAGCCTCCACGGTCCATTTTATCAGGCTCATTATGAGGAACAGAAACCTACAATGTTCGAAAATATAAAAAAAAAATCAATTGTGTAAATGCAAAACTTGGTGCTGGAGAACTACAGCAATAGAAAATCTGCCTGAAGAAAATGAAAAATATCAAAGAATATATCCCATTTTTTGCAAAACATAAATATTATCAGGCTAAAGTAACTATCTGCAGCCGAGGGCTCTTGTAAATGCAGGGATTCAGAATGGAACAGATGAATTATGCAATCTTACTCCTGGACTAGTGAATAATTATTTCTACGTTTTGACTTCCAGATCACATGAAGGCGGCCTAACCATTGCACTAAACCTACCATTTTTATAAATATCCTTCTATATATAGTTTTGGCGCATGAAAGAACCAGTTGCAGCATACATAAATGACTTGAAAATGTATCAGCCAGCCCAAGAAAACTTGATACAAAATGCTTAATCTAAGGAGCATGTTGGCATCAGTTTTTTTGAGGTCGCATGCTTGGATGTCCGTTTGAGCGCTAAAAAACGTTGCTTGATGCACATGTTGACTCTTATAGCGCGAGACATCCACTTTGGACCCACCGACACGTGTTGAGGGGCACGTAGCCAGGGTCATTTTGCTAGGCTTTGGCTTTCACTTGGGCGAAGGCCGGTCAGCATTTGGCACATCGGACGACTCCGATCGGGTTGAAAAATATTATTTGTTGTGCCACGCATGAAATTGACTCGAATTAGCCCGATCACCAGTGAGCTTGTTCAGATAGCCTCGGACGACAAAATGGACCACACGAGTGTCTGGAGCGTTGATTCAACTTGGAAAAGACGCTCGTTGCACCACGATTTCGCGTGTGGGCTAAAAATGCGCAAATTATCATTTTGGACTCGATTGCTAAAAAAGTGGTTCGAACGACCCCAAACGACGAAACAAACCGCACCACTGTATCTGAAACGTCGATTTTGCCTAGGGAGGATGCTCATTTTACTGCGGTGGCGTGTTCGGCTAACATGCGTGGTAAACTTTAAATAATAATAATTGTATTATTATTATTATAATAAAAAAATAAAAAAAAAAGATTATTTTTTTTTAAAACCCTTGGCTCTCCTCCAAGGGACACGAAAAAGGGATCCCTCCCGCTCCTATATGCAACGGAAAGAACCGCTCAGCCCGACTCTTTCGCAAAAGGCCTCCCCCTCCCGATCCGCGAAAACCCCTGAATCCTTTCTCTTCGCCGACGACAGCGGCGACATCGTCGCCGCCGACCAGCACCGTTCCTCCTCCCGTCGGTCAGCCCTTCCATTTTCCACTTTTTTTGCTTTTCTGCTTCATTTCTGGTCGGCCAAGCTTGTCCCGTCACCGGTTCTCCTCGACGACGTGATTTCCCCTCGCCGAAACTCCTCCCTAGCCAAGTAGCACCTCCAGTCGAGCTTCCTCGCTGGACCTCCACTACCACCGTCGTCTACTTCCTTTTTTTTTAAGCCGGTCAACCTCGCTGAATTTTCATCCTACCAGATTTTGCCTCGCCAGCATTGTGTTTTCGCTGAAGTAAAACAGTGAGGAGAAGCTTCAATCTTTTTTGGGTTTTCTTTCCACATTTCCTTCGCTTTCGACGCTCACCACCGACAAGTTAACATCAGCCACCTCGCCGCCTCGCTTTTCCGGCGACCATACACTTTGTCGGGCCACCACGACATTGCTGAACAGCAAGCATCGACGTCATTCGGGAGGATAAAAAGGATTTCTACCTCACGTGCAAGCTCCCGCCGGACTTCTTTAGGCTTCGTGCAAACCACGCAACGATATAACCCTAAGGTTGTAGGTGTGATAGACGTGTGGGTTCGATTGCCACACAAGGTGTGTGCGCAGGCGTAAGTCGACGCGTTGGTGTGCTTATGTGATGAATCGCTTGTTTTACTAAAGGTGACCTATAAGATTGGATTCCCCTTGCGCAACTAATTCTCCTACGATAGCTGAGTGAATCTTATTTGACTATTTGCCCTAGCACAAAAATCCTAGAGGTTGAACCTCCATTCGCTCCCCATTGCTTTGGTTGTCCCGATCTTTTAGAAAGACCGAAAAGTAGATCTTTACAAAATGAGAAAATGCGAGTCATTAGCTCATTTTGCAAAACTTGAAGGCATCGTGAAATCGGCCCATTTCATGACGAGGTGGAGAAGTTCCCCCTTGGAGATCCAGGGAGAAGTTCTCAACTTGCCTCGCCAAAGCAAAGGCGAAAATCACAATATTTTTATATATTGACCCTAGGTTCCCCGGTAAGGTCGTTAGCATGGGAATGACTCTCTATTACATGTGTATGTTTACATGTTACATTTTGCATGTCACATAGCACGTCACTTCGCTCCGACCGGCCGCCCCGGCCCAGCGAGTACGTCATTTTGCTCCGACCGGTCGCCCCGGTGCGGCGCGCATTTCACTTCGTTCTGTCCGACCGCCCCGGCCCTGCGAGTATTTCACTTTGCTCTGATCGGTTGCCCCGACCCGGTGAGCACTTCACTTCGCTCTGTCTAGCCCCCCAGCCCGACAAGTACTTCACTTTGCTTTGATCGGCCGCCTCGGCCCGGCGAGCACTTCACTTCGCTCCAACCGACCGCCCTTGCCCGACAAACATTTCACTTCACTTCGTCTGGTTGTCCCGGCCTGGCGAGCATTTCACTTCACTTCGTCCGGCCTCCCCGGCCCGGCGAGCATTTCACTTCGCTTTGTCTAGCCGCCCCGGCCTGACGAGTATTTCACTTCGCTCCGATTGGGTCGCCCCGGCCCGGTGAGCATTTCACTTCGCTCCGTCTAGCCGACCCAGCCCGACGAGTATTTCACTTCGATCGGCTGCCTCGGCCCTATGAGCACTTCACTTCGTCCGATCACTCCGGCCTGGCGAGCACTTCACTTCACTCTGACCGGCCGCCCCGACTCGATGAGTATTTCACTTCGTTTCGTCCGACCACTCTGGCCCGACGAGTTTCACTTCACTTTGTCCAGTCGCCCCGCCCCGGCGAACACTTCATTTCGCTCCATCTAGCTGCCCCAGCGCGACGAGAATCCCACTTCATTTCAATCGGCTTTCTTGAGTCAGTTGGTATGACACTTTGGCTCGACCAAATTCCTCGACCCAGTCGACCAACTACTTGCACCACCATATTGTTTTGCATCTGTGTTTGTATTTTTTCATATTGTAACGCATATGTATGAATACATTATTATATCCCGTCTTGAATTTGTATGTCTGCATGATTATGATCAATTGCCTGGGCTGCACATTCCTTGGGGCCAATGCCACTATAGTATGTCCATCTTTTTCGGGCCTCTGACGCCATGACATGCACATTCCGTCAGGTCATTGCTCTACCGGCATACCTCCTGGGGCCGCTGTCACCACGGCATGCCCATCTTTTTCGGGCCCCTACCGCCATGGCATGCCTATTCCGTCAGGTCATTGCCCTACCGGCGTACCTCCTAGGGCCGCTGCCACCACGACATGCCCATCTTTTTCAGACCCCTGCCGCCATGGCATGCTCATTCCGTTAGGTTATTGCCCTATTAGCGTACCTTCTGGGGCCACTGCCACTATAGCATGCTCATCTTTTTCGGGCCGCTGCCACTACGACATACTCATCTTCATTTGAGTCTGCCCCATGACATACTTATCACTTGTGTGTTTTGATTAATCATATGCATTTGCATGTTTGCATGGATAGCGAGCCAGACTCATTAGGAGAACGACTCCCGTGTTAGTCGCGATGTCTTAACGAGCATTGCTTGCCGGGTCAATCCTGATGAAGAATGCGAGTTAAGTCATCGAGACTGACACGAGTATGTATGGCTGCGCTAAGAATCCAATAGATCTAAATAGTGTCATCTCCTTTCGTGACACGCTTTAGATTCTTTGGATCCTTAGAATGGGGCCGATAAAACAACCTCGTCAAAGTCATACCATATCCAAATTTACCCCACTTAGATACAAGGTTGATGCACTTGTCTTCATATGGTGTGCTAGGCTAGGGTTTAGGATGGTATGTATTATTTTCGACACATCTGGCTATTGTTGTTTGTTGTGTTGTCTTGCGCTAGTCATGTGCCACCTTCTCGTCTTTTTTTCGGTGTGCTTGCATGCTTCTTGTGTGTAATAGTATATTAGGCGATCTTCTGCAAGTGTCGTGCCATTTATATACACTCACATAGATGCTATTAGGGGGAGCATGTAACGATTTTTAATCCTTTGCTTACATATGCTTATTAGCTCCCCACAATTATAAGACACGGCTTGTTATTTTGAAGATGTATGACGTGCCCGCTAACATTTGTTTTATGCAGGTTGAGTCTTTATTTTCTATTTCAAATGTATTTGATAGTGTCCTCGGAGAGTATATCGGAAATAAGGTATGGGCACCCGTTTCAAGGCGTATGACGCATCGAACCATGTGATGAGGACCAAGAGCAACAATTTGTGTCCCGTACCTTAAGTCCGAATTTTATATTTTTGTATATACTTGGGGCCAGGCATGTATATGCGGTGTCTGATCGTTTTTATCGTTTTTACTGGATTATGTTGCAGGTCCAGCTGCATTTGGCCTGTTTATATATTCTTTTGGGGTGTTTTCCTTCTCTATTTCTTCTCGTATGTCTTTGCATGTCGGAGTATTTTATATTATTTCTTTCTGTGTATCTAAACCTCACGAAAATGCAACCTAGGCTCACTAAGGATCCTAAAATTTTAATTTTGTCTATCTAAAAAAAATCTTAATAATAAAAGATTGAGATAATAAAAAATTTTAGGATTAAAAGATTCAAAAGTTTTCAAAATCAGTATACTTTTTCTGCATGACCTTCCGGTCCGTTTTTAAAATAGTTCGCATGCATGGCTATATAACCCAATCATATTTAATAGGGTGTCCACGCTTAGGAATGTGATAAATAATTGCATCATACCTACATGTCCCGAGTAGCCCCCGTACTTCTCCAATTTGACTGACTCAACATAAATTCGCCTAGGTGGTTGTCTAGCACGTGTAGGGTGTTAGGAGACTTCCCGATCCAGACGGGATATAAGTCCTCTTGTTAAAAGCGTTTACAGCTTTATAGCTGAACCTCCGCTTTCTCTTCCTTCCTGAGGCATCCTCGCCACTTCGGCAGGTATAAGTCTCACCTCTTGGAGCTCCATCTTTTAGTTATAGGATAAAATTTTGTTCATTTGACCTTAGGGCTACCGAGATTTCTGTGGACGACGCAATTCATGGATTTCTGACTAGTGATCTAAGGTTGTGTTGGGTCGACTACCTTCACGACCAGGTAGACTTAGGGTCCTGGTGGCTTGGGATGACGGGTCTGTGGTATCCCGACTTGGCTACCTCTACTCTTAGGACTACTCTTCCCTGCCTTTTGACTAGCCCTATTGAGCCACTTCTGTTCTTTTGACTTAGTTGATGTCACTTTGACAGCCCGATGCCGATAAGCTGTCGTCTGTTCGGGATACGACGATTTGTTCTCTACCCTTACGGTCTGGATGTGCTATGACGTATTGGGATACCCCGCTGAAGTAATTTATGGTTATTTCGTAGGTTTCATGAGCTGAGAAGCCGTTACCCATTTGGACATGAGAGATTTACTATCCGCCCGATGATGCAGCGTGAGCTTCAAAGCATCGAGACCGTTCCATAAGAAATAATCACATTTTGATAACCTATACCTCAGGTTCATGATAATAAAGCGAAACTATTTCCATCGAGAATCTTCTTGGGTATCCCCCGAGATGTAATTAACCAGTAGAAATGAGTTCCTCTGGAGACTTTTGATCCCAGAACAAAAAAATGTTCTTTTTGGTTCTCTGGTTACGGGTTGCTTATATAGAGATCATGTTCACGGATGTTGTTTTTTTGATGTACTTCGATCTGATTTTGTCTGAACGTATACTCTCGACCCATCACACGAGGATTGCCCCTATATCTACCATCTCTTTTCTTTTTAATTTGTTTGCCTATTTGTTGTTGTACGTCAGTTCGCTATTCGATTCCTCTCTTTTTCGAGTCATTCATTTGGTTCGGAAGGGAGACTTAGTCGAATAGGGAAATTATACAATGACATATAAATATACAAACTGACGACTCCGAGATCTAAAAAGAATCGAGAGAAAAACAGAGCACAATTAGCTTTCCACGAAATTATGAAAAAAAAAAGAGGCAGTGTACTTCCTCATTCTACAATGCATTACAGATAATTGCTAGATTTCACACTTAGCAATTTCATGAATTTATATGTGTAAAATAAGAAATCCAACTTGCACAGAAAGCTCAATTTAAATCAAGATATGTACAAGTAATACATGCAAAGAAGATACCTGTAAGACAGCATTACCTGGAAATTCCGAAACCATATATGATTGTCAGCAATTGAAAATGCAAATATATGATCATGGAATGGTTTGGCTTTTCGATGATCTTTTGGTGTTCCAAAAATCTGCGATAAGAAAGCATGACGTTAATTAATGGAAATGGACTAAGGGAATTAATTGTAGTTCGGTATATACCCAAAGAAAACTGTTGTACGTTAACAAAAAAAAAAAAAAAAAAAAAAAACCTTTGTGAAATCATTAAGCTAACTCTGGTCTGCTTTCCAATGCATCCCACCTAGGGTATGCGACTTGGACCTAATATTTGAACTTTTTTTTTTATTCAAGTCATCCATATATCCAAAATCCAAATCTTATTGTTCTAAATAATATCCCCTAAATGCTAACCAAATCTCCATGGGTTGACAGGAATCCATGACTAACAAAAAAATGTACTCCAAGTCACTTGAATTGAATTAAAAAAATGTGAAGGTCCTTTAAACCATGCAATTTTCAAAAGACCAATTACCTAATTCAAATCAGGTATCAAATAAAAAATACAAAGAACATACAAGATGGTTGATTCATAACATTAAAAAAAAAGAGCGAGAAAGACAAAGAGCCTTCCTATAATCAAAAGAATCTTTAAAAGCAACAAAAAAAGTCGCTATTAAACCTTAGTAGATTTGGTTATAAATAGTTGTTTCTCACCACAATTTTTTTTGGAAAGTAGGCAAGAAGCTATAGATAGCCAAATAAGACTAGTTGATATCTAAAAAGCAAAAACAATGAGACCGGCCACCCAAACAGACCTTAAATATGAAATTATTCTTTAGTAGATTGTACACCAAATTCGAAGTGCATTTGACCTTAGCATATCATCTAATGCCCGTCCTCTTACATTTTGTAAAAACAAGCAATATCATAATCATCATCATGAACAAACTTCTCCCAAGTATTTAAGGTTGGCTTTAGAAATTTATCATTTGTTCATGGTATATCTAGCATGAAGCGTTAGACCAATTCTTTAATCCTCTATTTTCGTTGTTGTTTCTGCTGCTGCTGCTCAAGTAATCTACTATTATCACAACCACTAAATTCTCTCCCTTAATAACACCAGGGTAGAAAAAAATCTTAAATAATACCACTGCATTGCACGTACTCTTAGCTGATTATGAAATCCGATGTTATTATATATCAATGTGGAGCTTAATCAAACTTGTTCTTGAAAACCTTGTGCAAATAAAGCATTCTAAGTCAGCCATAAATAACAATTAGTGCATAAAAAATTGCAAAAAATCCAAATAATAGAGAGTAAAAAGTAAAAAAAAAAAAACATTAAAAATTTTCTATAAGCAAATCTTCAATAGAAACTATTTTGCCCTAAATGAGTGAAACGATAGCTAAAAGAGAGGAACCATGCCTTGTGTTCCACAATAATAATTGACATCTAAAATAACTCATCTCTATAAAACCAAGCAAAAGCATGGAATTATTGGATATGATTCCATATTTAATCTCTATGATTTTACAAATAGTTAATCATAAAACTACAAACCCAACATTCATATTCCTTAACAATTAAGTGGACCTGATAAAAACATAAGCTAACTACTGCATGAGAAAATGAATATAATCAAGGAAACAAGAAGCATACCTGCGTTATCATTTCTTTCAAAAGCTTCCAACGAGGTTCTTTATCAAAATTGGAAGAGAAAGTTAAAATTGGCCGAGATCCTTTAAGATGATTTCCAGTAAGCTTGAGCTCCTCCATCGTGTGCACTGGAAGAAAAAGAGGGTCACAATTAGCAAGCAATCGTGCTTATAAATTGAAACCTTGAACTAGTAGATTAAAAAATGACACATACATTTTAAAAAATACCCGCTATTTGATGTGGGATATTTAGTATTTACTATGTTATTTATGGCAGTACAAGAATTATCCATTAAAAATTAAAATGTAAAGCAGACACTGGTGGATTTGCTGCCATCTGTTTGCCTCATTTGTGTGCATTCAGGGGGGTAATGTTATGGCTTGCAAATGAGAATTGGATGGTGACAATGTGCTGGGTAATGTGTTTCTGTGATATTTTTTTAAAATTTTATGTTATTTTTATGCTTCTCCTTGTTATATTCTTGTCTATGTACACAGAATACAGATGTAACATATCTTTTAAAGCACAATTGCAAATTTTGACCCGATGCTAACTATATAACATTGTGACTTAGTGCCGATGGAGCTGTACCACAACAGCCAAAAAGGAATTTTGGTATCAAAAATTGAGAGCATGACACTAAGGCGCTCGAAACAAGTGCACATACTATAGTGCGACGACTAGGGCTGTAAACGAGCAGAGCTTGAGCGAGCTCAGGCTTGGCTCGTGTTCGGCTTGTTCGAAATTGCTCGTATTCGAAATCGGCTCGTGTTCGAAACTAGCTCATGAACAGTGAGTTCGTGTTCGGCTTGATTTATATATTTGTGTTCGTGTTCGACTCGAAATTGACTCGTTAAAATTAAACTGAAAAAATAAATGTAGAGTGTTGGATTCGAACCTGGATCAAATATATGCAAAACAAGGCACATTTCCACATTACCACAAGAGCAGTTACGATTTTAACATAAATATATGTAATATATTGTTGTATAAAAAAATTATATAATTTTTTTTTTATTTCGAGCTAAAAAGAGTCGGACACGAGCGAACAAAGAGCTGTTCGTGTTCGGCTCGGTTATAATTCGAAATTTAAAAACTTTTGCCGAACACAAGCTGTTCGCGAACAAAGAGCTTTTTTGACAGCCCTAGCGACGACGCCCTGAAAAACATTACTAACGCACTTGAACATTAATATGGAATTCTGAGATCATGAAGCATAGTGCCCAGCACCAACTTACTTTTGTTTGGGTGATTCTCTTGATGGTTTTGATGGAATTCCCATAAGAAGATGTATTCCGGACGAGGGAGGAAAATTTTTGTAATCTTTTGTGAGTTTTTAGCATTCTATTTTCTGCACTCTTACTCTACGGTTTTGCTTGAAAGTGTGGAGTGTGAGCTATTGTATTGAGAGTTATTGGTAAAGGAAAAAAAATGTATTAATCTGTTGCATAAGGGAGTGCATAGGAGCAAGGATCTTATTCTGAGTTTTATCCATTCTATCTCTTTTCTTGTAGATTATTTTGATTTCAATGGGGAATACATTCTATATTTATATAGATGATGTAGAACTAAATTGATCAATTTTTTGAGTTGATCGTATCGAGACAATCACAATTAGAGCTAGCAAGAAGCAACGACAAATTGCGACATATAGAGACAGTCAAAACTCCCTTCTGCCTCCTCTATCTCAGACGACCCACTCGAAAACCGAATGAAAAAGTCTTTCCCAAAGCTCTTCTCCCCTCTAGTTCGCATGCAAAAATCACTCCTATCTCCACTATTAATATTCCTTCTTTAGCTTCACCACAAGAGCATGTTCACGACAAAAAGAGCCCTCTAAAACTCTCTTCTCCTTCACGCGTCATGGCCCGTTGAAGTCTTCTTCTGTCGAGACCAAAACCCATGTCATTGTCTCTCTATACTCCTCCCTTTGGTCGCCTCACTGATGTTCTACAAAAATCCCTTGTCCATACTACTCCCTTTCATCGCCTCACTGACATTCACACAATCCATAGCATCAAAAGTTCGAGCTTGTTGCTAGAAACTCACACACAGACCGAGCCTTGCTTCTTCTGCGCCACTCCCATCAATCCACTCTGTAGTGCACAAAGAAAATTGTTTCCCTAGCCCAAATCTTTTGTCGCTTTACCCTATATCGTAGCTCTAGTCGTTCATCCCTTATTTGAACCCAACCAGACCTTAAAACTCTAGCCCGATCAAAATCCCAACGCTTCTTCCTCTTTGTTTAATCAAGCCCAGCTTGATCCTAAAACCACAAATCGAGTCGTACCCATGCGAGCCCAAAACCCAAGTTAAGACTCTCATTCCCCAATTTACTATTTGTGTTTTATAATTTATACTGAATAAAAAATATGTTTCATAATTTTATTTTATTGTTGTCATTATTGCTTCAACAATATCTCATCTTCGTCGACGTCGATGCTTTACTTGAAAAGGTATAAAATGGGCATGGGAGGGTAATTTTCAAAATATTCATTCGAGAAAACTTGAGTATTTGTCCAAGAGAATTAAATACTACTCAAGAAAAGTGTGTACTCATTTGAAAATTTTTATAGGAATCAGGAGATTTAAGTATCAGTCTTGGAAAATGTGAATATCATTTCAACAAATTAAGTATCATTGAAAAAAAGTAAAGTACATATTCTCTTTGAGCAGTGATGAATTATAAGGGTATAAATAATTCGCATAAAATCTTCTATCAACTAAGGACAACTTAAATTTGTCCCTCACCCCAAATCAACAAAAATCCCTTGAACGATGCAAGTCATAGTTGCAAACAAAAACTATTTAGTCATACTAAGTCGACTAATGCTCTGACTAAGTAGATTAAGGACCAAGAAGACTCGGAATGACGAAACCATGAGATCTTGATTAGTTTAGTCACCATTCTCCCCACCACCCACTTTAAGCTCAAAATGATAATTTTTACAACTTAAACCCTAAACTTACCGTCACTATATGTTGATTATTCAATGCTTAATGGCTAGCCTTAATTGAAAGTGTTCACTTGTTATCGGGAAGGATAATTAACCATTTGCCCCTATGGATAAAATAAAATTTAAATCTCTCACTAGTGCATTATCTACCATCCAATCCGCATTTTGAAAATTTGATTCGATAAAGCTCTCAACAACAATCAACAAAAATAGAGAGCCTTGGGCACTAAATTTTCGGAGCCCACATTAACAAAATCCTAAGAGGTCTAGACTCGTCATTCTCTCAATGAGGGATTTTCATTTTTCCTACTGAAGTGTTGCTGTCTTTTTTTTTTTATTTTTATTTTTTTTTATGGTTCTTTCAATTTTAGATTGAATGGTATTAAATTAACAAATTTAGTCCTACACATATATGTTAGGACTAACTAATAACCCTGAACTACAACTTTAAAATTTGATCTTACGCATACAATTAACAGATCTAGTCATACACATACAATTTAAACCACCATCACATTTTCCTCAAATTCTTAAAAAAAAATTGGACCAACAATTCTCTAAGTTATTGAAATTATTCAAAAAAACTAACAATTAACAACCTATTGGCAAAAATTTTATAATAGATGTCTAATCGTATTAAACTCATAAAGAATGTCTCTAATAAGAAAAGAAAATTAGGTGATTTTACAACAGTGTCCTGAAATAAGAAGTCTGATTCCATTCTGCAGAAAAACTTTCACTAAAAAACTTTAAATTTTTGGTAATTTTATTATTCCTTAAGCTATAGAAGATATATTCTTGGGAAAGTATCGTGTAACCTGTGTTAGCATTAATCTTATACCTTTATCTTTCTTTAGAAAATTAAAATTATAAGAGGTTCAACCTACCACCGTGGCCCTTCACTTAGTTAATCATTCATTGACTTGTCCTAGAAGAGCTATAGAAGATGTCCTAATGAAGGTAGATAGATTTAACTTTGCTTCAAACTTTACTGTATTAGACATGAAGGAAGATAAAGATAACATTATCATTTTTGGCAGGTCCTTAGCCATTACAAGGGCGATGATGGATGTTCAGAAAGGGGACTTATCATGAGATTTAATAATCAAAAATTGACATTTAATGTATTAAAATTAATTAAGTATTCCAATGGCCCTAGGGATGATAAATGTTTTGAGTAGACTTGTTGAATGGAGATATTTAGAGCCATTTCAATAAAATATTGGAGATGGGCCCAATATAGAAAAATTTAATTGAGGATAGTGTATAAAATTCTAAAGAAGGATCTGCACCATTACTAAATGTTATTCCTAGAGTGATTAGGAAGAGGCTTAAACCTTTAGGCATCTCAACTATTGCTAAAACTTTATTTCAATTCATAGTTGAGGTTACTGAACTTGAACTCAAGGATCCTCCTAAATACCTGAAATATACTTTTTTAAAAGGATCTTCAACTTTGCCCATAATTAGTTGTTCTAAATTAAGTGAATTACAAGAGACAGTTAATGAGTGTTGAGAAATTTTAGGAAAAAGTTTGGCTGTAATATAGAAAGCATTGAAAGAATAAGAAAAAGTCCTTCATTCCGCAAGCTTTTAATGAAGTTATCATCAACCAAAGGAAGAGACACAAAAGAGGCTCAAACCCTGTTAATTTAAAAGGTGGTTAAGAAAATCAGTAAATGGCTAGATGCATGAATCATTTATCTTATTTCAGATAGCGTGCAAGGAAGCCCAATCTCTTGTCCCAAAAAAAGTGAATTGACTATAGTTGCAAATGAGGAATAAACTCATGCTTATAAGAAATGTCACTAGCTGGAAAATTTGTATTGATTACAGGAATTTAACAAAGTTAAAAAGCTACTACAAAGAATCATTTTTCTTTACCTTTCCTTGATCAAATGTTAGATAAATTAGCAGAACACCCCTATTTTTGCTTTTTAAATGATTATTCAGGATATCACTAAATTTCTATAGCACCAAAAGACAAGGACAAAACTACTTTCACTAATCCTTATGAAACATTTCTTTAGAAGAAAGTTTTTTAGTTTATGCAATATCTTTGTAACCTTTCAAATGTTTATAATGTCAATTTTTTCTAAACTTATTGAGCATGGCATTGAAATATTTATGGAAAATTTCTTTGTGTTTGCAATTACTTGGTGATCGTCTTGAACAATTTGCAAAGAATTTATAAAAATGTGAAAAGAAAAATTTAGTGTAAACTAGGAGAGTGGCAATTCATGGTCACCGAAGGTATTGTTTTAAGACAATCTCTTAGAAAGGTAAAGTTATAGAAGCCTTGCCTTCTGCTACATATGTCTGATGGATTATGAGTTTTTTAGGATTATATATTTTATAGAATAGATTTTAAATATTTCTTTAAAATCACTAAACCTTTATGTCACATATTGGAGATTTTTTTTTTCCATTTTGACGGAGAGTGCTTTGAAGCCTTTGAGCATTGAAAAAAAAAAAAAACCTAATCACCACACAAAAGCTTTAAAACACAAGCTTGCCTAGCCAATATTAAGGTGTATACCCGTCAACTTATACTATCATCCAAAAGAAGTTTCCATTTGATCTCCAGGATGACTTAAACTTTATCCAAATTGGTCCTCAAAAACAAACTCATAAAACCAAATTTGCAGCGGTCACAAATGCACCCTAATTTGTTAAGATATTCCACGACCCATTCAACAAGCTGATCGCCTAGTCCAAGGCTGTGTGAAGGGAACTAGCCTCTCGTGTTTTCTCCATCGTTATATGTGATGTTTTCCATGTATTATTTCATGTCGTGCTCAAGACACCAAATCCTATTGGATCCTACGGAGAGTCAAAGATTCAGCACTATTTACTCATTTTCCCCTTTATTATTTCATTGTGGTATCTTGTGTAGTATATAAGTAGATTTAATACTTCTGTTACCTCTTGTTTTAGTTTTTCACTTCTTTGAATCAATAAGATTTAGGTATCATTCATAGATAAATTGGGGTTCAGCTCTTGTAAAGACATGGAATTTGATTTTTCTTTAGTTCAAAATTTTGTTACTTATCTATTTTTTATACACAATTGTTTATTGGATAGTTTAGGGCATTAATTTGGGTCAAAATTTATTATCAAAAATCTAATTTTGTACAAAATTAATTGGTTGATTATTAATTTATTTTTTTCCAAATTAAACTCTTGGATATTTGCAATCATTTCATAATCAATTAGACCTAAACCATATTACATATTTTTAATTAAGAGAAAGAAAAAATTGTCATCATTACTGGTGATCCATGAATCATCTACTTTTCTTTACATGAAGGCCCTATGCATCATATTAGTTACATTAGGAAACAAAACCCGAACTTGTCATCGATGAGATCATACTATGCATCAAAATTGCTTATATCTAGGGATAATAGATAAATCAATACAATTGATGAATGACACGAAGTTTTGCAAATTTACATCTCTTTTATGCTTGTTTCCTGAATAAATAAACATTAATAGTCTTTAATTTTTTTAACAGGACATGCATTAAAATAAATTTATGTTATTTCTGTTTTGAGGACAACCTCCATAGTTGTCAAACAAGCAGCATGCTATGATGAATGTTTATTGTTTTTAATAATTTAGATTTAAAAAGTTAATGCATGTTCATGCACAAGAATAACTTTAATCCTTCACATATACATGATGCAAAATAGTAATCGGAAGGAATAATGGGAGTTTATTCCATTCAATTGTAAGTTGGATTGACTAAGGACAACTGCCATTCAATTGAATTTATATTTACAAAAGTCAAAATTAAAAGCAAATGATAACAATAATCACATGAGTAAATTTAAATTAAACGATATGACAATAAAAAAAAGAATCTTCTTATTACCACATTTAATCAATTTAGATATAATATTCCAAACAAAAAAGCTATAGGGATCAAGACTCACCGGCATTTACCAAGAATTTCACCGAAGGGCCATCTGGTGACCTAGTCATCCATAGGTAAAGATCTTTTTGCTTTCTACACTGGTGTATAAATGAGAAACATAAGTTGAGAAAAGTAACACCTGTAATTAAAAATATTGCATCTTTCTATTCTATCCGGTTACTATAAAATTGAATTCATTCATCGCAAATTGCGCCCTCTACGTTAAGTGCATAAAGGACTAACAATAATAGTACTAAACCTCTGTTGCCGAGTATTGAAAGAAATTACGACTATATTGCATCTTCAAAAACTTCCCATTCACCAAACATTTAGTGCCTTCTTATGTTCTGTTTGGCTTGAAGAAAAAGTAAGAAGAGAAATAAAAGAAAGAAGAAAATGAAATGGTAAAGAAAACTAGGCATCACTGACTTGTTTTAGTTGATGAGAAACTGATTTATAAAAAACATTTTTTTTATTTCAACCTTCTTTGATGAAAAATTGAGTTTTCGTTTCTTGTGAATAGCAACTATGCGCCATAGTAATGATCTGAATTTTTTTTCTTTCTTTTTCTTGTTTTCCTCTATGTCTAGAGAAAGAATTGACAATCAAGATATGCATTGCTTAAATTACTAAGTAAATTCAGCTATATATTTGGCACATGAGAACCAAACAACATAACAAAATTGTGAATTTAAACTCATTTGCATTCCCTTCAATAACTTCAAGAAAAACATACCCTTAATGAGCACTTAGATTTTACTTTTAGAACTTCTACCAATCAAACAAAAAGCAAAACTCAAGGACTGTTAAATCGGCAAATCTTCAGCTTATGTATAATTTCACTAATACATACCTCAAACCTACAAGTAACAAAATCTACAAACCAATGAAAACTCAAAAATTAAGATGCAAAAATACCTCAAAAAACAGACAATATGAGCAGTTCCTGAACTCGACCAACTCATTAAGTGTAGCTCCCTTGCCTTGCTCTGACTCTATCTTGTTATCCTTCTTAGAGTGAGGCAGAAGTGACACCATATCTAGCATCAGATGCCGATATCTCCTCACATCCATAAAAATGATTAAAAAATGAATAAGAGATAAGAAAATTGAAGAGTTAATGATATCAGAAGTTACCTGGATATGATTCGACGAGAGCAGGTTACCAGAACCTTCTCTTTGTTCCTGAAAACAGGAGCATCGCTCTGCTTCTCCACGTGGTCGCTCTTCCAGCCAGTAAGAGTTCTTTTCGGCCTTTCCGGTGCGGCTTCATCTTTCTTCCGGCCTTCGCCAGAAACCTCATCATGCTTTCTCTTCTTAGACATTTCTACAACCGTAAGGATGCTGCTAGGGTTTCTAAGGGCCGGTAGCAGCGGAGCAGAGGGATGAGAAAGAAGGGAGTTTCGGTGGTCTCTGTAAGCCTCGATCCCTTCGTTGCCTTCCCAGCTAACTCTAATGGCGACTGTATCGCGAAGGTTCGTTCACGAAGGCGATGGTTTTGAGTGAAACAAGGAGGGGGAGGGGAATCAGCGAGGGTTTGGGCAGAGATGGGAAGTAAACCGGGAGAGGGGGAGCATGTAGGCGAGGGTTTCGGGCTGATCGCGGAAGAGGGAGATCGGTTTATGGTTTTAATTTTTTTTATTTAAGTTATTTTAAATTTTAATTGATTAATAATTAATAATTAATAATTAATAATTAATAATTAATAATTAATAATTACTTTGTATATTATAAAATTAATAGACTTAGATAAATTAATTATTTGATAGTTAATTAAAGAATAAAAATATATTTTTATTTTAAATTATTTAATAAAATTCTATGTAGTTTAACAATTAATTTATAAATATTAAATTATTGTTTAATAAATAATTAGTTTAAATTATTGTTTAATAAACAATTAGTTTATAAAAAATTTATTACTCATTAAAGTATATAATTAATTATTAATAAATATAAATGCCCCCTTTTTATGCACTTCAGATGTTTGGGTACTTATTCATACTCTTTCTTGATTTAATATTCAAAAATAACACCACATAAAAGTCTTCTTAATTTGTTCACACCTAGGGGTGTAAACTAATCAAGTCGAGCTCGAGCCGCCCTCGGCTGGAGCTCCACCTTGATTAATTTTATTGAGTTCGAGCGCAAGCTTAAGTCTACGAGTTTGAGCCTATCTGTCTGCAAGCCAACTTGTTTAATATAAAAGAGATAAGATGATATTACTTTAGATCATTTTATAATAAGTTAACAAAAATAATAAACAATTAAAAGATAAATAATAAAAATTAACTAATATATAATAAAAAATACTATTTTCTTGACATTTTGAATACTTTAAAAATAAAGTTTTGTATTTTAATATTTTTGAATAAATTTAATGTTAATTTTTTTAAATGAGCGGGCTCAAGAGCTAATGAGTCGAGTCGGTGTTGGCCTAAGCTTGGCTTGCTAGCTCATCGAGCTTAGTTCACAGGCAATTTATCGTGTCGAGCTCAAGCCGGCTCTCACGAGTCGGCTTGACTCTCTTGCAACCCTATTCACACCCATGGCCTCCTAACCTCTTTTTAAGGCCCGTTTAGGCAGCTTAAAACTGCAGCAGCGTTTTTGAAAACGCCGTCTTAATAATTGATTCGCATGTTTTAACCGCGTTAATGAAAACAACGTTTTATTTTTTGTATTGCGACGCGATCACGGGTATTACCCCGCGTTCCAGCGTTCGGCCGAAGCATTTACGCCCCTGCCCTCAAACCCAACTTTGCCGAAGGAAGCCAAAGGGAGCCGCGTTACCTCATCCCTGCCGAAGGAAGCCCCGCCAAAGCCGCTCCTATCTCATCCCCGCCGAAGAAAGCCCCTGCTGAAGGAAGCCAAGCCAAAGTCTCTTACCGCCGCACTCCCTCATTCGATTTGAGATCCTGCTCACCACTGGTATAAAAATCCCTCTCCTCCCTCCTCGATTCATCTCTTTTCTTCCCTCTTTATTTTTTTTTAGGTTCATTTGTTATTCTAAATCCTTATTCTTTGTTGTATTTATGCTTTTACCCATCGATTCTTCTTCTCCAAATTTATGTGACGATGGAAAGTTTATGAGATCTTTTTTTATACATGATTTGTGATCTTCATAGAAATACTGATTTTTTAGAGTTTGGGGTTTATGCAAACAGGCTAAAAAAAATTATGTTGAAATTCATGAATATATTGTAACTGGTGTGATATTAATACATAGATTGTTGTTTTATATCTATAATTTTATGATTGATTTCTATTTTGTTGGTGGAATAAGCTGTGTATGATTAATTAATTGTATGCGTATCACAACCAAGAAATCATACGCAACAAAATTGTCATTTATCCAGTTCAGGAGCAAAATGGTCATTTATTCAGAAATATTTACAAATCAAATATTTTCCAAACATACAAATCAAACAAGTAAACAATTTATTAGGATCGATTGCAGATACACAACTTATCAGAATAAATTATTTATCAACATAAGCTGAATAAGCTGTAGCTGCCCCAAACAGACCCTTCATCCCATGCTAATTCTGGTGACTTGCCTATATTTAGGGTTGTTCTCTACATCTCCATGACCTCATTTATGCCATCACTCATCTCCCTCATTCACATAGACTCATTTCTAAAGTCAAGTTTGTAGTTCGCAGAAGGACACCACGCACTCTTCTTACTATGTTCACACAAGGGGTGTAAATAAGTCGAGTCAAGCTTGAGCCGCCCTTGGCTTGACCTTGATTAATTTTATTGAGCTCATCTCATCATCTCCTATGAATGATCATATGCGGGTTTAACCCAACCCTCAAATGCATTTTTCTGCATGTAGTCTCCTCTTTGACATAGCTCTCTTATTCCATAGACCACATCTCTACATCTTCCCTAAATTCTCTATGCCATTCCCTACAAACCACTAAAAAACCCATCCACACATACGAACATAGGTAAACCTCCCATTTTGAATCTTGATGAATCTCTACAAACCACTGAAATGATATCCTAAAAGAAATGCATTCTCCAGCAATGTGGTTGAACCCAAACTTATTGCATCATAGTAACCAATGTAGTTAAGGATGCATTGAGTAGACCAATTAAGAATACTGAACAATTACAAGTTCAATTTTATATTTTAATTGCAGTCATATCGACAAATCCATGTAAACTTCAAATATGAAAAATGATGATGTTAAGCATAAGTTATAGATGGCAGCATGTCATTTACTCGAAAGGAAATTTGTTTAGAGTTTTGGTATTAAGAATGTCTGAATATTCAACTTTATAAATTCACTTCAAATTTGAATAATCCTTTAATTTTGCTCTTGTAGCATTTGTATACATGGAGATTACAAATTGATTTAATATCAAATATAAATGACTATATTTTTATTACTTTAAAACTTATGAGATCATAGACATAAATTTGGGATCTAGATAGAAAATAATTATGGGTGGAAGCATAAATCTGTCAAGCTTAAAAATAAGTGCTTAGCTTTTGTATGCTCGAACAAGAGATTAATACAATTTGTTCATGACTTATAAGGCTGTGATTTTAAGTTACACAATCAAATTCATTGATCATAGCCTAAATATTATAAGCTCATCGTGGGCGACATTGATCTATTTAGTATGATCACACAATCAAACAAACAAGGTAGTAACTAAGATTGTTATGATTGTAAATTTCACAGGTATTGTCAATAAAAATATTGAGATTCAATCTAATTAGGAAGGTTCACTAATTAATCAAGGAGATTAAACCATATTATCAGTTGCTGCATGTTCCAATGACTTCAATATTTTGAAGTACGCCCTTTGATTCATGGCAAACAAAAATATTTCTAATGTTTAATAGTGTGTTTGAGGCAACTTGTGTTTATCCAGATAAGCCGCTTATCTGAAAATATGGACCGCGGGGTGTGACCCGCGTTCTGCTTTTAATGTAAAAAATCAACTGCATTTTCGGGCTCAAATGCAGTTTTCAAACGATGAGACGACGTTTTCAAATACGCCTCCGCAAGGGATAAACTGCCCCAAACGGAGTCTAAATCTAAGCATACAACAGAACCCGTGTGATATCTGCTCGCTCGCACTTGGGTTATTTATGGTGCACGGATAAAATGCCATCTTATTTTTGTATGAGTTATATCTCATCCTCTCTCTATAGCCTATAATCTAACATCAGGGCTTCGCCGGTAGCTTTCCTAGAAGATTGGTGGAGAAATCAACTCCAAACGTCACTATTCATAGTTTGATATGCTAGATTTAAAACCCTCAGCCTTTGGTTGAGTTGATCAAAATCAAGTCATTTAGACTTAAGTTGAGCCCCCACAGGGTTGAAAATGCTTTGACCAACTCTTTGACCATGGGGACCTATGTCTTTTATTCGGTCTTTCTTCCGATACTTGCACTTTTCTCTCACAATTCCTTGGTTAACTCTTTCTTTGGTTCATAAACAAGCACATTGAGTATGAGATTCATTTTGATCCAAAAAAAAGTTTCTAATAAAAGAGAAAATAAAAAAAAAAATAATCTAAAAATAAGTTGGGTAAATTTATATACAACAAATGTGTATGAAAGAGCTGGTTCCAGTTCTAGCATTTTAAGCCTTCATTAAACCGAGCATCAAATTAGTCTTTTTTAATTAATTTTTACATAATTACCATTGCAATATTACAGAAGTACCCATAATTTTGTCCAATAGTATAAAATAAGCCACAAAAGATGTAACAAATGAACAAAACAGAATGGCCGCTCTGTCATCAGAACTAAAAAGAATTTTCTCATCCACAACTCGAACATAGTTGAGTTGTGTAGGAAGCTGTCCTAAGATTAATTCAATGCTTTCATCAAATGAAAGATTGGCCATAGATAATTGGGAAAATAATAAGATGAAAAAAAGCAAGTTTAATATTTGTATATTAAATTTAATTTTTTATATTTATTAATACCATAATAATCTCTAAATAATATACATTAACAATGCAATACATTTTTTCATGCATATAGTTTATGGGCAATTTACATACATAGCACCAAATTCTTATGGATTTACATATCAAACATATAAACTTCATTTTTTTTTACAATGCACAACCTAGATCTTTGATATCAACTTCTAGAAAGTGAATGCACGTTTTAATGCAAAGGGAAGGTGAAATATATGCAAAGGTTAAAAATTTATGCATTAGACATGAAACCAGAGAGAAGAAATAGAGGAGAAGGCTTCCTCAGTGATGGCGATTAGAATATGATTGGTTCGATTCCGCCAACAGAGTCCTCAATGAACATTTCAGTAGAGGGAGCTCTATTATCATCATTGTAGCCTTTCCACAAATCCAAACAGGAAAGAAAAGTGATTTGAAGAACAAACTCTAATCCAAAAACATGCAAAAGTAGAAGTCGAAAGAAGAAAGCTCAGTTATGGAGATGGTCGACATACAAATCACTTGAAGGAGTGAAATGTAATACGGTCTGTTGAGCTTGAAATTTTCAGTCATCACAGCAACCTCCTTTCGATCTCTATGACATAAAAAAACACAGAACCATAGGGCAAATAAAACTGAATATAAGAATATTGCAAGATTTTAAATACATATTACCAAATT